CTGGGGAGGGGGCTGGACTGTGGGGGCACTCCTTGTGTCCAGCCATGACGGGGCACCAAGGACTCTGCTTCCTAAAGCATTGTCCAGTGATATTTCCTAGGCACCTGATGCGTGCCCCTGTCTCTCTGGGTGGCACAAGTGGTTTGCAGTCAGCTCCTAATCAAAAGGGTAACGTTTCAGCTTGTTGTGCATAGGGTCGCTGAATCAGAACCAACAACAACAACGGTCCCAAAAGTTGGTGATTGACCCACCCCCACCCCCACCAGTGGCACAGTGAAAGAAAGGGCTGGCAATCTGCTTCCATAAGGATTACAATCAGGCAAAGCCTGCATGACAGTTCTTCTGTATAACCCATGGATGGCTGTGAGCTGGAATGGGTTGGATGGTAACAGGGGTAAGGATCCAGGGCCCAATGGGGCAGGGAGAGAAGAGAAATCAGTCCGGGGATTTCATCAAACGGAATAATGTTGGAATTCCAGTTTCTCCTTGAAGTTTGGAGCATTATTATTAAAACAAAGCAAAAGGCTCTCAACTAGCAGGCAGTGAGCGCATTTCCCCGCCTACTCTGTGTTTGGAAGGCATTGGTGAATATAAAACAAAAACAAAACTCGCTGCATTCGAGCTGATGCTGACTGTAGGAGTGACCCGTCAGGACAGAGTAGAACTGCCCTTGTTGGTTTCCAAGGCTCTAAATCTTTATGGGAGCAGAAACCTCATCTTTCCACCTGCAGAACAGCCGGTGGGTTCAAGCTGCTGACCTGTAAGTTCCAGCCCACTGCGTCCCCAGGGCTCCTGAGTGCTAAGGATGCGGCACTTTCTTGTTTTTGCTTTAAACAACACAACAAAACACCTCTCTCCTAAAGGGATGATTCAGACTACAAATCAATCCCTTCCTACAGACTGACTGCTCCTCCGTGGCCATCACCAAGACAATCTTCTGAATGGCCACATCCAGCTCTGTCATGTCGCCGATTGCTTAGAGTCCTGCCCCCCCCCCACATCCCCCTCTGTGCAGCCCCACAGCATGCGTTCCAGGGTATCCAGGACCCAAATCCTGTGTATAGCCTTTAAGTCTCCTAGAATGGGGGTCCGGGCTGTTGCCTGCTTTGAGAGCCGTAGGTCTGGGACTGCAGTTGGCAAATTTTGGCTCTGGGGTTATATAGGGCTCCTTAAATATATACATATGTCTGTGACGTAAAATTGAAACAAACTTTAAAGGATATTATTTAGATAATGGTGGTTCCATTTGTTGATCACCCATTTATGGCTCTCAAATAACTTAAATTGTGAGGGACAGGATTGGCTCTCTGTCTCAAAAGTTTGCTGACCCCTGGTCTGGGGAAGCCCATGGATCTGAGCCCCAGGTCCGGGGACCATGCACTGAGTGGTTGTCTCTTCTTACAGATCATGTTTGAGTTCCTGGATGTGCCCTCCCTCCTCCTGGCTGACCAGCTGGAGATGTCGCTGTACTCCTCCGGCCACCTGACTGGTGTGGTGGTGGATTCCGGCTACGGCTTGACCCGAGTGAAGTCTTTCCACCTGGGGTACCCGGTGCACTCCAGCTGCCAGACGCTGGAGTTTGCTGGCCAGGATCTCTCCACCTACCTCTGCAAGAGCCTCTTCAAGGAAGACGCTGACCTGCGCAACCTGTTCCAGATGGAGACGGTGGCGAAGACTCAGATGAACAAGTGCTACGTGCCGCTGAACCTGGCCAAGGCGTTGGACTTCTTCCAGAGTCTGCCCGGCGGCTCCGACAATGATAACACATACCAGCTTCCCGACGGCACCACGGTGGAGCTGACCCCCATGCAGCAGCTGGCTCCTGAGATGTTCTTCAGTCCTCACGTGTTCGACCTGCCGGGGCCCAGCATCTCCCAGCTGTTCCTGGAGTCGCTGAAGGCCTGCGACAGCACGCTGCACCCGATTCTCATGTCCCATGTGGTAGCCTGTGGGGGCAACACCCTGTACCCTGGGTTCTCCAAGCGCTTGTGCAAGGAGCTGGTCACCAATGACCTCCTTTCTCCCGCCGACTCCTCCGTGTGGGTGGGTTCCAATAGAAACTTCAGTGTCTGGCTAGGAGCCTCTGTAGTGGCCCATCTTTCTTCTTTTAAGTCCCAGTGGATGACCAGAGAGGAATACGATGAAGGTTTAAAGATATGATCTGTCAATCTGGTCCTGTAATTGGCCTTCAATGGGCAAAGGAGGTTGGATTTTAGCAATAGGATTTAGTGGTAGTTAACAATTTGGGATTAGCTAGTTTGGGGAGGCTGATGACCCCATGCAGTTTTACATTACAGGGTTTTATCTTGTTTTTAGAGGGACATCCAACCCATAGTAGCAGGGTGTCATCCCTGGGTGACCTCCCTCCCAGGGGCATTCTTCCAGGATCAATTTGTCCATGGTGGGGGGCGGGGGGAGCGGTCATCTGCCAGCTCCCGGCCCAGTGTCGGTGCTAATGAGAATGAGAACATGCACAAGAGAAGGCAGCACGGCCCCTCAGCGTGGTTACTGTCGCAGAGCCATTGTTGCAGCCCCCATCTAGTACATTGGGGGTCTGCCTCTCATTCTTCACCAACCTTGTTGGATTGTCCTCTTCTTGTTGGTTGAATAGGTCTCAACTCTGGGGCCATTTTCTAG